CCCCCCCCCCCCCCCCGCCAGATAATGTAAAACAACAACGACCAAACAAAAGCATGGTTTCTGGTAATCTTAACCTGTAGGGTAAGATCATACTATCTGGGGAGAACCAAAGGTAGAACAAAATTGGCACTCCTGCAGACAAAAAGGATTCCAAAAAGGGGTGCACACCTTGAATCCCAGCACTGGGGAAGCAGAGGCAGGAGGATCTCTGTGAGTTTGAGGCCAGCCTGGTCTACACAAGGAGTTCCAGGATAGCCAGGACTACATAGAGACCCTGTCTCAAAAAACCAAAACTCAAAAACAAACAAACAAAAATCCAAAAGCAACAACAAAAACAGAATGTCCAGAGGATAGAGCTTCTAGCCTCCAACCTCAGAGTCCTATCTTCTGCCGGGAACACTCCCCCAGTGCCACCCATGTCTCCTTTAAGTCTCCTTCTCACTGAAGCTTTCTCTGCCTCCCTCTCAAACAGCATCTTCCCCTCACTCTCCTGCTACTCTGTGGCATACGTCACACTGACGTGCTACTGACTTGAGTGATATACATATTGGTTCATGGGTCACACTCAGCACTATACTGAAGACAAGGGCTTTATTAATTTTATTCATTGCTATGCTCCTGGAGCCAAAGACAATGCCTGACTACAGATGAACTGGGAAGCTATTTTCTGACAGGGCAGTGGGAGATATGTGGACCCTGTGAACTGAAAAAACACCCCACTATTCGCCACAGAGAGGAACCACTTGTCCCTTCTACCAAACACACATCCTGGTTCTTACCTCTGGGGTCCTAATCTCCATTCTGCTTTCTCTTCCACCCCTCATCCCATGTCAGGAGAATTCTAGAGAAAACCATTCCTTTCTAGGTTAGGAGAGAATCATGTTTTAAAACAAGGTTAGTTCTAACGATGACCAATGGAAAAACTTACATCACCCACACACACAGGATCTAATGTGGGCAGCCGATAGATGGCCAGACTGTTTGGGTTGTCTCCTCCAGTGGCTAGGAGTGTTCTAGAAGGATTCAGCTCTATTGCATGGATACCACAGCCCTGCTGAGACACACCTCCAGGTTCCCGGTCTTTCAAAATGGGAATCTTGGTGATCTGGCCAGTCTGGACATCTACTACAAAGAGCTGCAAGAGAAAAGAGGTGCACAAAACATAGTTTTTACTTCATGTGGTCAACACTGGTACAAACACCCATTTGTTCAATTAGAGTCTACTATATAGCAGACCCTAGGGATTTTCATTGTTGTTTTCTGTTTTGAGTCAAGGTCCTACTATGTAGCCTTAGTAAGCCTGGAACTCACTATGTACGCCTCCAACTAAGAGATCTGTCTTCTTCTGTCTCCCAAGTACATAAGCCACCATGGCCAGCGTTTATTTATTTTGGAGACAAGGTCTCACTGTGTAGCCCTAACTGACTTGGAAACCTGGCCTTGAGGCTCATAGGGATCCACCTGCCTCTATGGATATTAAAAGGCGTGCACTGCCAAACCCAGCAGAATAATGGCATGGCTAAGGCCATTAGTCAAACGAAATATGAAATAACTTCAAATGACATTAAGATTAAAGTAGCCGGCAGTAGTGGCACACGCCTTTAATCCCAGCACTCGGGAGGCAGAGACAGGCGGATCTCTGTGAGTTCGAGGCCAGCCTGGTCTACAAGAGCTAGTTTCAGGACAGGAACCAAAAGCTACGGAGAAACCCTGTCTCGAAAATCAAAAAAAAAAGATTAAAGTTTAACATTTTTAAAAAATTCATTCATTCATTTATTATAGATACAATATTCTGCCTGCATGTATTCCTGTGGGCCAGAAGAGGGCACCAGATCTCATTACAGATGGCTGTGAGCCACCATAGGGTTGCTGGGAATTGAACTCAGGATCTCTGGAAGAGCAGCCATCTTGCCAGCCCCAAAATTTAACATTTTACATCAACATATTAGAAAGATTCTGTCTACAATCAAACCACCATGTATGCACCCTATCTCCTCTGATCTCATAGCTAAGCAGGGTTGGACCTGTTTAGTACAAAAAAGATAAAACAACCAACCATGGGGGAAGGGGGGCGGGGGGATCCAAGGACTGAAAACATCTGTCTTCACCCTGAGGCAAACCTCTTTACCCACTCAGCCTTCTAGCTGTTCCCTTAATCTTTCTTACTGGCACTACAAATCTTTGGTACAAACTGTATAGGGGTGGACCCAGACTCTCAGCTCTGAAAAACAGAAGCAGGAGGAACAGACTTTTTTAGGTCAGCCTGGGGTACAGGAGAGCCTATCTCAGAAAGGGCAAGGAGCTAGAGTGGGCTCGGTGGTCAACAACAGGTACTGTTCCTGCAAAGGACCCGAGTGTGGTTCCCACCACCCAGGTAAGGCGCCGCGGCTCACTAACACCTGTAATAGGCATCTTCATTAACATGCACATATTTTTACACACACACACACACACACACACACACACTTAGGTAAAAGAAACTTTAAAATAATTGTATCTAGTTATTTTATTAATTAGTTTTACAGGGTACTAAGAAAGGCTCAAAAAACCAATGAAAAACTGAGGTGACTTGAATGCAGAGTGTTCCGGAAACCAGTCGTACCCACATCGTCACTCTTGAGGGTACAGAGGAATGGCCAAGCACCTAGTGCAGGACTGACTGGCCTGCCTCTTCACAAGGACACACGGAGACGTGGGTGGACTGGCACAGAACTGCTCACACTGACAAGGGCAGAGGCTTCAATGCGGATCCCTGTTCCACACTCAGTGCTGCTGTTCCACACTAACCTACTGGGCCCAGAGCCAGAAACTGGCAGATCAGCGGGAAGCTAAAGCCCTGGCTCCCTGGATCTTCCCTTCTTGGACAGGGGAAAGAGCAAGTAAAAGGTTACTGAGAAAGATGTAAGGTTAGGAAGCAATGAATGTAGGTGGGGTAAAAACACACGAATGCACCCACAGGACAATGGTTTTCAAAAGGGAAGAGAAGCGTACAAAGTGACTAGAAACACAGAATCCCATTTGTAGAATGGACCCTAGCATAGAAAGGAGAGCGAATGTATGCCGCTTTCCAGACACTAAGTCCAAGCTTGATGGCTCCGTGGATGAAGACACCTTAATGCCAAGTCAGACACATCCTGAGTTTGATTCCCAATGCCAATGTGGTCGAAGGAGAGAATCAATTCTCTCAAATGTCTTCCTCTGATCTCTATAAATAAATACAGAGATCTCGATACTGATATTAAAGAAAAAGATAAATTATTACAGTCAGATAGAAAGACAGAAGGAGGATCCAGTCATTGTATCAAACTAAAACAGTAAGGAACAAAGGGGAGAGTCAAGATCAAAAAACAACAGTTCGTGTGCCAAGAAGGAAAACAGGCTGCATGAATCCACCCGACAAGAGAAGCCAAAGGTAAGGTTCTCTAGCTCCCTGCTCCAAGATCTTGCCTTGTCCTGATGGCAAAGTCATGGCATCAAGAGGTAGCTGGTCACACCGCACCCATGGACCAGAGGTAGTGGTGATGCTAGGGCTTGCCTCTTTATTCTGTCCCAACCCATGGAGTGGGGCTGCTCACAATTAAGGTGGGCCTTTCCACCTCAATCAACCTAACCCAGATAATCCCAGTCATATAGCACACACTTACTTGTTCATGCGTGTGTGCACACGTGCATGCATACACACAAGTAACATGGTATACCTACAGAGGCCACACGACAACCTGCAGGAGTTAGCTCTTTCCTTCTACCAGTAAGACCCCAATAGTAAACTCAGGTCAAACTGGATGTCTTTACCTGCTGCTGGACCCATGTTGGCTCACCGAACTTCCTTGGTGTATGTCTGTTCAGGATTTGAACCAGGGCTTCGTGGTGCTTCTACACATTTGTTTTTGGAGTGTGGAGTGTCCTCAGACAACATTGTCCAGAGCTGGCCTTAAACTTACTTTATAGCGTAAGCTAGCTTTGATTTTTTTGTTTTGCTTTGGTTTTTAGTTTCTTTTTAAGACAGAGTCTTGACAAGAAGTGGTGGTGCATGCCTTTAATCTTTTAATCTTTTAAAAGGCAGAGGAAGGGAGATCTCTGAGTTCTTTAGCCCACTGCCCAGTGCTGAGTTCATTCCCAGGGCCAGGGCTCTACATAAAAACCCTGTCTTGAAAAACTGGAAGAAAAAAAAAAGTCTCACTACATAGCCCTGGCTGTCCAGAACCCAGTATGTAAACTAGGTTGGCCTCGAACTCACAGCCAGCCAGCCTCTAGCTCCTGAGTGCTGGGGTTACAAGCCTGCACCAACAGGACTGGTTACATTACTGTTTATTTTTTGAAACAAGGTCTCATGTAGCCTCTTGGCCTCAAACTTGCCATGTAGCAGCAGGTGTCCCCGAAATGATTCTACCTCCAAGTATTAGAAATAGAGGTGTACGCCACTAACTCCAGCTTTCTGCGGTTTCTCATGGCCACAGAGTACTTCCCTGCATAGATAAACTAGCACGTCATGAATAAATTCCCCGCTCTTCAACATTTACGCTGTGTTCAACTTTTTTCTAAAGATTTATTTATCATGGATATAGTGTTCCGCCTGCATGTATGCTTGCACACCCGAGGAAGGCATCAGATCTTAATACAAACGGTTGTGAGCCACCATGTGGTTGCTGGGAATTGTACTTAGGATTTTTGGAAGAGCAGCCACTGTTTTTAACCTCTGAGCTAACGCCAATCTCCAAGTTTTTATAATATAAATGCAAGATCAAAAAGTTGGACATGGTAGCATGTGTATGCATTCAGTGCTTTGATTTCTATAACAAATCAGTACCTTATCTGGAAACACTCATTTAATCCGCAGATGACAGAAGACTTCCATACCTCAATACAGTACTTAGGGTGTGTGTGTGTGTTGCTGAAGATTGAACCCTGGGCCTCATGTACTCTCCTGAACTACAGTCCCAGAAACAAGGCTTTTTGTTTGTTTGTTTGTTTTGAGACAGGGTTTTTCTGTGTAAACAGCCCTAGCTGTCCTGGAACCAGCTCTTGTAGACCAGGCTGGCCTCAAACTCACAGAGATCCACCTGTCTCTGCCTCCCAAGTGCTGGGATTAAAGGTGTGCACCACTATTGCCTGGCTTGGCTTACAATATTTTAAATATTATCTTAGAACTCTAGAGAAATTTCACACTGGCCCAGATATTGAGCAGCCTAGGGGTATTGCAGTGAAAAGTCTGAGAAGCCTGTGCTTCAGGTCAGGACGAACTGATCTGCGCAACCTCCCACACAGTTTTCATTTGTGGTGCTGGTGTCAGCCATAGCAAGCACAAGCTTGGCCACCGAGCTATACCCCACTCACCCTCTCACCAACCACATTGGGATTTGAACAGGAAAATGTCTAGTTGGCATGGTGGCACACACCTGTGGTCCTGGTACTGAATAGAATGCCTCTTGAAGATGCAAGTTTGGATAAAGGCTATGAGCACCAAAGGCGGCAACATGCTCCTTCCCTACTCACTGTCCAGCAGCTGAAACCACAAATAAACTATCCCTGAATAAAGGCTCAAATCACATCAAATTATGCAGATGTTATTTATCAAATGGAAGGACAAGTGTTTAAAAAAATGCATGGTAGTGCATCTATGAATTTACATGAATCTAATCATTAGCGTTACAGGAGATGCGGAGCCCAAGTCTGCCAGCTCCTTCCAAGTGGCACGGTCCTGGGCGACAAAGAAATCATCACTATCTCAAAGGATGAAAGCTGCCCTATGTGACATCTTGTTTCTTCCTCCTGTCCCCCATGCTCAGAACCTACCTTGTTTGTCTGCAGTGCTGGGGTGAAACTAGGACCTCGTCATGCTAAGCAGAGTGTTACTGAGCTACATGACCCGCACAGCTGGGGAATGCAGGAGTACCATTGGTCTCCGTACATAGGGAGGACAGCCCGAGAAGAGAAAAGCACTACATTAAACAGGTCCAAACCTCATCTAAGCAATGCATTCCAAAAGACAAAAGGCAGTAAAAAACAAGTCTACTATCATCACACATAGAGGCAAAAGCTCATTCTTTTTTTTTTTTTTTTAAATATTTATTTATTTATTATGTATACAGTATTCTATCTGTGTGTATGCCTGCAGGCCGGAAGAGGGCACCAGAC